GTGGCCCCGGGCACCGGTGTCACTACCACTGAGAGCCAGGGAAGGGCAGTTCGACTGCCATTGGAGCCAGTCGAGGAGACCTTCGACGAGGCCAGCAACTCCAATGTCCTGAGCGTTCTCACTGCTGGCTTCGGTGTTGGTGCAGTGCTGGGATGGTTGAACTCTAGAAAGCAGCAGCTGGTCTCCACTGCAGCAGCAGCGGCCGTGGCCGTCGCACCTGGCGCAGCTCAGGCCATGGTGGACTACGATGGCATCAAGTACCTAGGTCCTTGTTGGATACAATTTTCCATTTTTGTTACAATAAAACCCTGACAAGGATTAACAATGATCCTTTGTAACATGGCTCCAAAAGGGAACCAGGTACCTGGGTGGCACTGACAAGGTTGACATCAACAACGCCAACATCCAGGCCTACCGCCAATTTCCTGGCATGTTCCCCACCATTGCCGGCTTGATCGGCACGCACGGCCCCTACAGTCAGGTGTCCGACATTTACAACATTCCGGGAATGGATGACAAGCTGAAGAACATCGCCAAGAAGTACGAGGGAAACCTGGTCTGCCTGCCAGCCAGCCCTGCCTACTTCATCGACCGCATCAACAACGGACTGTACCGTTAACCACTGTAGCTTCTACAGACGCCTGTGGAAAAACAAAGAAATATTGAGTGCCACTCAGCAAGTGTCAGGAAATGACCGGCCAGGGCATCATCGGGAGGAGAACACTGCTTCTGTGCAGGCATTGCAAGCACTCCCTCACCTGGTCATGACCACACACATTTCGAGACAAGACACAATTCATCGTTTCGCTTTGCTCGCCTGTCCCACTTGAGCCATGGATCTCGTGGATTGGTTGGCATCTCTCCTCCCTAATCGAAGCTGTCAGCGCCGGAATCGTCTGCTCCCCAGTTCGGGCCTAGCAGGCTCATCGCGAGTGCTACCAGAGTTCGCTGGACTGAGGAGGGGACCTATGCCTGCACCGGGACCTTCTTCTTTATGCTCAGGAACATTTTCGCGATGTCTGCGAAGTGCTGGAATCCGTTTTTCTTGATCAGGCCAACGAGGCTTCCGACACTTTCCAATAGTGATCCTTCGGCTTCCTGACCCCATTATAACCCAGAGGGTCCGAGTACCCATGCATGCCATATACTAGCCATATACTTTCACAGCTGTGCTATAAGGCTGGGCTAGATTGAATCTTTCGACATTGGCTCCGGAGATCAGTATGGGGTTGCAGGTGGTTTTGAGGAGATCCAAGCACGCGGACATGCCCTCCCATTGCTTGACTGGAAGAGACTGTTCCTGAGCTGCCACAGGTCATGCCATTCCCCTGCAGCCTCGTCGTGGTGCACGGGGAAAGCAAGACACTTCACCTGAATCGCTGCAGTGCCATGGCATGTTTTGTCGGACATCGAAGTTTTACTAATGTTTACAAGTTGCCCTCATTCAGTCATTCCGCCTGTCAACATAAAGCCGGTGTCAGGGCAGAGCAAAAGAAATCGGACAGAGCTTGGCTTGGACCTGTTTGCCTTCATGTCTTTAGGCTTTGTGTATCTAGTGGTCATGTTCTGTCACGGTGAGACTATTTTGCCATTTCATGTGGCGGTCGAAAGACGTGGGAAAAGGCGACATCAGAAAGTGTTGCGAGCACCCAGCAGTTTCCAACGGAGGGGAGTGCTGGAGCCTTCGCCAGCCCTTTCTCAAGAATGGGCCTGAGAGCTTCCAGTAGGAGGGGCCCAGAGATCGCTTTGACCACTCAAGGTTCGATCCTCGCATCGGCTTCAGAACTTCTGGCTGCGTCGGACGAGCAGGGCAAAGTCGCACCTATGAGTGCTCCAGCATAGTGATCTCAAACCGGACCGAAAACGGGAAGAGAGGCTTTTCGCAGCCTAAAGTAGGACTGCACTCAGGCCATATTTCATGCATTCCGCCGAAGCTGCTACAAGTAAGGTATTAGACGACATTCTGGACATGATGTGGTGCTCTGGGCAATGGCCCACTCCGCGAGGGAATCTTCATCCAACTTGCCTCATGTGTGGAAGACTCGTCTGTGGCCCTCACAAGCAGATGGTACAAAGGTTGGAAGCTGGCCCTGTCAGGCGACTGCAGGACGGCACTCCTTTCCTCAGACTCAATCCGGGTCGGATGTGCCGGCGCATCAGTGGCCCTTGGGCTTTACCGGAGGCTGAGAAGGACCCGGCTCCCTGGCTACCGCAGGAGACGGAGGCCTTGGTCTCTGCAGTGCGTTCCTGCGGCCACCTGGGTTGGGCGGCTGTTCAGCAGCAGTTGGAAAGCCAAGGCTTCGCTCGCACCGAAGCCCAGTGCCAAGTGCAATGGAGACAGGTGTCTCAACCGCTGTCGACAACGGATGTCATAGACTTGAGTGCGGCAGATGAGACGAAACTGCGAGAGACTGGAGACGGTACCGTAGGACGGAGATGGCAGTGGCGAGACGAAGCTATCAATGCGGAGATGCAGCTGCTTTTATCTTCTGATTCCGAGCGTGTCGAGCTGCAGGAACTGGGTACAGGGCTCATTGTATTCTCACCACTTCTTTCTTGCTACCTCTCCTCTGCATCAATTTCCCACCCACCATCAACACTGCTACCAGAGACCATCCAAGAAGACTTTTTGATCGGGCTCTCGGCCTTTTTTCGCACGCCGATGATTGATCGCACCGGCTTGCTGAACAAGGACGCCGGTTTGGAGGCTGAGGTTTCCGGACGTTTAGGGCTTGGGGTTTGGGGTTTGGGGTATAGAGTTTGGGGTTTATTGTTTAGGGTTTTGGGTTTTGGGGTTTAGGGTTGAGACGGGCTGGCTCTAAACTGCGGACTGTGTTTCCGGTATCCCCACTGTGCTGTCGTGCACATGAAGTCCATAATCCGATGTGGGTTGATCTACATTGTACCCCGTTGTAGTCTTAAAGTACCCCTTATGGTAGCCGTAGAGTATCCCTCATGGAAGCCTTATACTACCCCTCATCAGCCTTTTCGTACACTTTACAGTAGCCTTATAGTGCTCCCACTTTTCTGTAGCTTTAAAAGTGTCTCTTTCCCCAAAACCCTAAACCCTAAACGCCCTAAAAACCCTTAAGCCCGGCTTTGTTGAGGTGCCCCTAAACCCTAAGCCCTAAACCCTAAAAGCCCTAAAGACCGTTAAGCTCGGGATTCTTAGAACTCTACACCCCATGTCCGTGGCTTGCCTTAACAAGAAACTCGGGAAGTCCCTCGGCCCAAGACTTTGTTAATCCCGCAATAAGAAACGACTCTAACAGGTTTAGGGTTTGGGTGTTTTAGGGTTTAGGGTTTAGGGGTTTAGGGGTTTAGGGAGTGGGGTTAGGGTTTATAAAGACAGAAGGAAAAACGGACCACCCTAGCTAGAGAGGAACACGGTCTAGCGTGGTTCAATCTTGGCGAAGACTCAGCTAGAGCAGCAGGTAAAATCACAAGGGTAGAACCCTAACTGTGAAGCTATCCCTACAAGGCTCAAGTAGGCTCCATGTACCCATGTAGTATATACGTAAAGGGGCCTGAAAGGGGGTGACTAAATGGCCCTTAAAAGTACGGGCCCTACACCGTGCTGCTGACGCAACACTAATTAAAGTCCTTGAGTCCATCTCGGAGTTGTGTCGCAGGTCAGGACAGATCGCGGGCTGGTAGAAATTTGTGTTGTAGTCGTGGCTTGGACCAAGTTCCGCTAAAAGAACTGGCTGGCATGTACTCCGAACCAAACACAAAACGAATTTCAGGGCTGAGCAACGGCTGTCGGCTGGCTTCATCTCTTTGCAAATGTACCTTGTGTACGTCTGTCAATGCACTCGTGGGCGGGGGGGACAGTCCCGAGGACTGCAGCTTGCGATTGACAGTCCTGGAGCCCATGCCAGACAAAGACCCGAGCTTCTGCACGCCTCTTGGCGCCGTGCCTTCGACTGCTGGATTGTCCGAATTTGATTGGCCTTTTGCCGTCTCAGTACCTCCCTCCCAGGTGATGGATGGTCGTGCCAAAGAGTTAATCGAGCGGGCGCAGGCACAGCGCTGCAAACTGGAGGTCCTGTGGAGTGGAGGCTCGTCTCCAAGAGAAACTTAAGGCAGCCTTGTCTTCGCCGAGAGCAGTACGTGCTTGCTTCATGATTTTCTGGACAGGTATGCATGAGCATGTGCATGCCGATTTGCTTGATCATGCTGAATGACGGTTTGCGGTAGAGGCTTCGCTGGCGGTGAGGGGGTAGCAGATTGCTCGACAGGGTGGCTAGGAGCGTGTACAGACAGACGCTGGAGCAGGAAAGTATTCTCGTCCAGCTGTTGTGCAACGCACGCATGTTGCTCCGTCTCCTTTTCAGAGATAAACATAAAATTGTTTGGCCGTTTGGTGTCCACCTGCAGTTTGCGAGTGGACACCTGTCGAAGTGCACGATACTTTCTTGTGTCGGTGGAGGCTGGGCACACCCTGCACATGTTTGCTGCGGTGGCTACTTTTCTCGGCATGCAGCAATCAGTTAATATACCCTATTTCCTGAGCCTCACTCGAAAATACCCCATTTCCTCTTGGCTTATGCTAGCTACCACCCTTTCTCTCTGGCATGCGTTTTCCTCGAGTTTTTAAAAATGTAAAAATGTTTTCTCTTTTTTTGTTCGTTCTTGCTCTTTTGCTCATTCTCGCTTGCACAAAACTTTTGCTCCTCTCGGGTCCAAAACTCGAAGTTTTGCTGTTTTTGAGCGCATTTGATGCTGTTCACTGCATTTTTTACGGGTGATTCACCCTTTTTTTCTTGCTGTTTCTATGCTTTCGCAGACTCTCGTCGTTATGATTCACTCCGTTATTTCCCACAAAGCATGCATGTGGCAACGATGTTATTGTCCACAAAGACTCCGCCCGTTTTTTGCAGGGCATCCATGTTGCAACCATGATAACGTCCACAAAGACTCCGTCCGTTTTTGCAGAGCATCCATGTGGCAAACATGTGAACGTCCACAAAGACTCCGTCCGTTTTTGCAGAGCATCCATGTGGCAACCATGTTAACGTCCACAAAGACTCCGTCCGTTTTTGCAGAGCATCCATGTGGCAAACATGTTAACGTACACAAAGACTCCGTCAATTTGCAGCGCATCCATGTGGCAACCCTGATAACGTCCACAAAGACTCCGTTATTTCCCACAAAGCATCCATGTGGCATCCATATTAACGTCCACAAAGACTCCGTCCGTTTTTGCAGAGCATCCATGTGGCAACCATGTTAACGTCCACAAAGACTCCCTGGGGTTCGTGCGCAGTCTGAAAAGACTCCTCCTTACATGTTTGACATACGGTCATGTTTTTTTGCCTAACTTCCCTTACCTCCCAAAACAGCCCTTAGAACCCAGAATGCCGTAAATTACAGTACTTTCGGGTTTTGGGAATGTGACAAAACGCAGGGCGGCAGGTCAGCCGCCTTGCAGCTAGAATCTGGGAAATTCTCGAGTTCTACCCGCCCACAAATGTCTCACGATCTCAGACTTGTGGCCTTCGGGTGATCAGAGATGGGGTAGAGAACTGGCTGCTCATGCGGCCGACTCTCGACTTCAACCTGGCACGATTACGATTTGTGTGGCGGTGCTCTCCACAAGACATTTGCGGCAGAGTCAATCGCGGCTTGCAAAGGTCCACCAGACGCTGAAAAGTTCTCATGTCTTATCCCTGCCTTTTCCATTCTGCAAACAGGTATTGATTCGACATCGCTGCTGGTGGCGCTGTTGCAAACACTGTTTCCCGACTGGCGACCGTGGAAGCCCAAGAGTTCTCCTCAAGGCGCGCACAGTTTCCAAAATACTGGGAGAGAAGTCATGCAGATCCTGTCTGACAGTGGGATGAAGGAGATCCGAGATTTCACACGTTTCCTGGCATTGTCGTTCGATGCAGTGCTGATTCCATTGCAGAGTATCCCTGGAGGCGGCCTTAGCGCCAGACACCATAGCATGGCAAGGCAGAGCTTATATTCGTGATGGCGATGCCTTTACTGAGGTTCCACGAGAACGTGCTTCTCCCGCTGCATGAAGCTGGTGCCTTTGCCCTAGGTCCTAGGGCATGAACCCAAGTCATGCCAGTGAGCCGCAGGTGCCATTGACATGCAACCCATGGCGGATGCAGAGGAGACCGCAGCGTGACACTGCTGATGCGATTTAGACTGCACCGGATGTGGGAAGGAAGTGTCCATGCTGTGGGAAGCACCCTCGTCCCGGATCGCAGTCACTGGAGAGTGTGGGGATCAGATTTTTGGATCTCAGCTACTGGAGGCGCGGGGGCCTCTAGGAAGGCCCAAATCGCTCGGCCCCAAGCACCCCCCGAGAGCCCCCCCGCTCTCCACTTTTAAGGCCGCCTTCGTGAAGTCCGAGCTTCGTGCATTGTACGAGCATGGCCTGGATGCGGCCTGGGAGGACCACTGCAAGCGGCCGTGGTCACTTGCTTTGGGGCTGGCCTGGCGAGGACACCGTGCTACATGCTTTGCTGGACATGGGCATCGTGAGGCGAAGTGACCCAATGACGCCTAGCATGAACTTGCTGCTGCAGAAGCACTGGACTGTTTGCACTCCTCTTCCGGACTGCAATCGGTATTCCTTTGGCTTGCTGCTGTTATGGTGCTGGCATGCACAACTACCACTCCTGCAGGCTGGACTGCAAAGAGCGATGGCTTCGTTGGTTCAGGCCCGAAAGGACCAGTGGATGTAGGAGCCCTGCAGCCGGTGAGTTGGAGTGAGAACATTCATTGACCAGGCCTTTCGTGGAACGATGCCCTCTTCCAGTCTACTCTGCCTTTGATTTGTCGGAGACTCGCGAATTGTGGGCAGTCGCTGTTTGTAATCTGATTTCGCGAAGGCTTTGGTGGCTGAACGTGAGCTGCAAATGGCAGACCGTCTGCCTCAGGCCTCTGCGTTTCTTGGCCTGCCATCATCTGAGATTCGATGACCAAGCCCGGAAGGCTTTTTCAACGTCGACCTCAGCTTCGTTCATCTGACTTGAAAAGACTTGCTCACTTCTTCCAGACGGAGGATGGGCGATGTCGCGCTGTACAGCCAGATGTCAGACCGTACGTCTCCGTAGCAGCAGGAGTTCCAGCAATGGTCCTTTGTTCCTGGGAACCATGCGGCCAAGATGAAGGATCACCAGAAGTGGCGCTGTACCCAGGATGTTGTCGGCATGAGCGAAGGAAAAACCTGCAAAAGATGGCTGCAAGGTCAACGTACAAGCAGCCATTGAAAGACTACATTCTGGAGTTTACCCAGGTGGGGGAAGTCGGTTGCCCACGAGCTTCCACAACCATGAGCAGTACCTGCATACTCTCATAGCCGGTTGTGTTTTGCAGGTTCAGAAGCACTGGAATATTAACATGGTTCTTCATAGTTACGCAAGAATTGCATTTATGTGATACATGCTGCCGCACCCAAGGGTAGTGCATCCGGGAACATAGTTCAGACAATTTTCGCATTGGGCCCTGCGGTCCAGTTTGGAGCGTGGGCTTTGTGCTCCATGAGTCACGTTTCATGCTCGTCGAACTTTGTCTGATTTCGCGTTGTTTAACTCTCGATGCTTTCTCTGCTCACACGAGGCCATGTAGGATGACACGCACAGTCCCCTGCAAGAACCAGTGCGCTGAAGTGAGGGCCGAGGTGCCAAGCAGTCCTTCATTGCTGCCATCAAGAGCTTAGCTTCGAGAAGCTTCCAGGCGAGGGTGGAGTGCGGGGTGGCAGGGCCCAGGCTTGGAAGAGGCCCTTGCAACAGAATCTTCCCAAATGCAGCCTGCGCCTCTGTTAGCGCGCTGGGCCTGCTACGTGGAACCCAACTCACATTGATTGAACCTCGAAGCTTCGTATCTGGCCTCGCTGTAGTGCCCTCGGTATGCAGGACCGGGAGTATTGCGACAGCAAGCTCAAAGTGGGATCCCTCTGCCAGGCTGGGAAGTCTATTGCATGATCGGGCTGCTTGCAAACCTGGCAGCTCAAGGTCAACGACGCCAGCCGTTTCGTCATCATGGGCATTGACGACAAGTTGAATGTACTCAGATTCGGACACACTTGTTTCCAGCCCGTATTCAACCCAACGCTTTCGTTACTGTTTTCAGACGGTGTGTGTTTTCAATGTTTAAACTGGATCTGAGGCTTAAGTGCCCGCCAAATGGACAAGCGGTATCCTGACTGCGCTTTGCAAAGAGCATTTCTGAGAAACCGCTGCATAGCTTCTGCGGCTGTTGCTCCTATAGAATCCCCCAATGTTCTGAGCCATGCTCAGCCCGATTCCCCTAGACCTGGACTGACTGTCTGTTGGTGACCCAGTACTGCCTGTATCTCCATCTCTTTCTCACTTCGCAGTGCGGTGTTCAAGAGGGTTTCACCCCATGGGCCGTTGGGTGGATGATGGTATGGCTAGCTGCTGTGGCGGTGCTCGCAACAGGAGCCGGCGCCGGTGACAGCTCAGGTTCGGATCACTCTGTCCATGAACTGCAGAAAGAGATTCACCAGCAGATGCAGCGTATCATGGTCGCGGACTTCGTGATTGAAAATGCAATCCGAAACCATTCAGCCCAGGCACAGCTGCTAAACAAGAGCCAGCAAACGTCAGAAGACTGCAAGCTCAGATATGCCGCAGCCAAGCGCTCCATAGCTGAATCGCAGGAGCAGGCCAAAGACCTGCAAATACAGCTGAATGATACCAAAACCCAGATGGCGGAGTCACAGGAGCGGCAGACGAAGCTGGAGCGCCGAATGCGCAAGGCACAGGCCTTGGAGGAACGGGCCGAGGAGGAGGCCAGCGCTCTCAAAAGCAAAGCCGACGAAGTGCTGCCGGAACGCCAGGCTGGGCTGCCAAACCCCGCATCCCTGGGCGCTTAGACTCGCCCCCGCAAAAGCAGCCTGCTACAGAACCGCTGAGTCCTGAGTCACCTCCCTCTCCGCGAGGCCTGGGTGCAGAGCGGCATCGGCCTCTTCCTCAACTGGCTCAAAGGCCTTCCTTGCCAAAACCTCGTGGCAACCCTCGCGGCAGTCTTGGGTGCCGTGCACCTTGGAGAGCATCTTTTTGCGTGGATGTAAACTGTACCATTCAGCCCACCCAAGCACAAAGAACACGCAAGCACTTCTCAACGTCGGTAACCTATGCTAGTTACTAGACTGGACAAGATTAGACTGGATTAGACCAACTAGATCTTTCCCGACTTCAGCATCTATGAAAGCCAGGAGCTGCTTGGATAGTGAGCTTTTCATCCTGGCGGCCAGCCTAGTGCTCGTGGCTCTGGGGGTTGGCATGACGGCCGGAGCCATGGTGCAAGCAGTTCTTGCTGAACATGTTTTTTTCTAACTATTTCTTCTGAAAGCCCCGTCGGGGGTTGGGTTCTCGTGTAGTTTTTGCTTTCCGCGGCGCAGCGTTCACAACAGAACGTTTGCACGGACGGGAAAGCCATGAAAGCCACTCTAGCATCTCTAGCGAAGAGGAAGCGTCCACGGCATCGTCTGGACGCTTCCGTGGACGGAGGCTGCTGTGGAGCTGTGCGCGGCCGGCGTTTGCGGGACGACGAGGCCGTGGACGGGCACGGCTGGGGAGCGTGGGCGCCGCGTTTGCGGGATGACGCTGCTCTGCATGTTGGGGAGCTGTGGGCGCCGACCGTTCGCAACACCACGCTGCAGACGGGGACACTGGAAAGCTGTCGGGCGCCGAGCATCGTTCGTGGGACGAGGCTGTGCCGGAGACGGGGCTGGAGGGACACCGAGGAAGTTCACGAGACGATAAGACGAGGCGGAGTGGTCTGCGGGACGACGCTGCCGCTGGGGCGGCAGTGGGCGAAGCGGCAGAGCGTTCGCGGAACCTGCTGCCGTGGACGCGGCTGGGAGGCTCCGAGCCCTTGTGGGACATTGCGGGACGACGTTGGCGTGGACGGGGCCGTGGGGCTGTGTGGAGGGCGACGTTGCCGTGGACTCTGAGTTTTATTATACTGATTCTGTATGCTTGACAGCATGCTATATCCAATCCGCGATGACTGAAGAACGGTTTTTGGGTTTTTGGCTTGATGCCGTTCTTCCCTCCTTTCGCTCGGCCTTTGAGGCTTTTTGTAAACTGCAGCAGGCGTGCCACAGGGCGAAGCTGACAATTACAAGGGAGGGAGGGAGAGGGAGGGAGGGAGGGAGAGGGAGGGAGGGAGGGAGGGAGGGAGGGAGGGAGGGTCGGAGGAAATTCACCCTTCGAATCGGTCGTTCAACGCCTGAACCTGCAACTGGAAGCCTTCTGCTAACATGGCACCAAGATCAGCCAAGGACAGAAGTTCTTCGAGGGCTGGGGTGCCTCGAAATCGATTTGAGATTCACTGTCAGGGATCCTGTTTCAGGGTTTTCGGGTCAGAGCTTAAAACCTTGCCAAGGCGGGCGTTTTAGAGTCTTCAGTCTGTAGCAGAAGCTTGCCGACTACCTGAAGCCATTGAGGCATGATCGCACATTCTGCTGCTGCTCCCTTTTTTTTACCCACCCCCACCAACACCACCCCCACCAACACCGCCACCGCCACCCCCACCCCCACCCCCACCCACACACCACCCACAACGCCGCCACCACCCCACCGCCACCACCACCACCACCACCACCACCACCACCACCACCACCCCGCCACCACCGCCACCACCGCCACCACCGCCACCCCCGCCACCCCCGCCACCCCCGCCACCCCGCCACCCCGCCACC